GTTAATAATCTCAATATTTTTATTAATATGCAGTTAACAATATTTATGCCAGACTTACGACTTTGAGTACTTAATGGAAATTATAAATTAAACTAGTTGTCGCCCGCGACTCCGTCCGCGCGGGATTAAAAATAGATGTTGGCCTACTCAATATGCTCACAAAATTTCATGAGAATCGGTCAAGCCGTTTCGGAGGAGTATGGGAACGAAAATTGTGACACGAGAATTTTATATAAAAGATTATAAAAAAACATAATCTGTTTGCTGTCTGGCTGAACTGCATTTTGCCTTTGTCCAGATTACGTTTTATTAAAAAAAATACTATCCAAATAGCATTTAAAACATTAGAGGAAGATAGATGTAACATGTCCTAATCATTTCTCTTTAAAATACATTTACTTGCCTGTTTGTTTTTGTGTTTCCAAAAACAATTGTTTTCCGGAAATACAGTATAAAAAATTGGCCTTTCCAACATTTGGCAACAGTGCAAAATAAGACATGTTTAAAAAAATTAGCTTTAAATTAGGTCAAATTTAAACATTCTCTTCCAATACAGTTGGCAGTTCGACGTGAGACAATTTCAACTAGACAATGCCCACCTATGTAGTAGCCAGGTCGATAGCATTTTAAGGGTTAAATTACAATATTATATTTGCATTCAATATTAACCTTATGTCGTATTGGATAAGAAGCACATTCCTAAAAACAATAAATTTCATTTAGCAAAAATAACTATAGTATTTCCGTTAGACCTTATCTTCTTTGGATTAAAAGTTATATTCGATTGTAGACTGTTTAATTATTTTTGTCACTATCAATGGACTTAAATGCTATTAAATTAAAGACTAGTTTCGAAAATTCGAAATTAGAATATCCAATGGCGCGACTACGCTATTATACCAAATTTAAGATGCTTTCAAAAATTGTAAATGAGACGTTATGTAGAAGACATAAGGTCGAAACTATACACATCAAATGCATTGTTATCTTTGTGATGTGACACGACAGCGGGAACTCGTGTGCGACGGAATGCAACGACAGGTTTGCGATAAATGAGATTTCATACGCGAGATATTTGTATATTTTTAATTCCGTAAACAACGAAAATATTTTTTGAACTAACTATTTAGTCCATGGAGCAATATTTTTTTTTAAAAAGTCTCGTATATTTTCTGTTTTTTTCAATTTTTTTTATTAATCACATTAATGTAAGATTTGCTTGCACCTTGGTTAAAACTAAACTAATTTAAAATTACGGATATATTATGATAAAGATACTTGACAATTTTTCTCAGTTTCTTTAAATGAAATAACAAAAACATCACGAGCACTAATCTCTGGATCTTGTACCGTGTGAATCGCGCATCGCTTGACATGAGGCAGGCGGTATCGGCCGGCGAGGTTTTTTCCCGCGGTTAATATTTTTTTTTCGTCAAGAAATCTGTATTGCACGACATCGGACCTCGTTTGTTGTAAATCATTTTATGATATTAATTTTTATTAATAAAAACTAGCTGTCGCCCACGGCTTCATCTATAATTAAAAAATAAGGAAGCCTATGTGTTATTAAAGACTATGTTCTACATCTATGCAAAATTTCAGCGAGATTCGTTGAGCCGTTCCGAAGATACGTTCAAAAAAACATCCATCCATCTAAACATTCGCATTTATAATATTAGTAAGACGTAGGATTAAATGTAATAGTTTGTCGTAATATTTGTTCCTATAAAAAACATAACCTAATTTTATTAAATTTAAACGAATGTGTTGTAAAATAGATTAAGCCTTTGTGACCTGTTTACTGAATAATAACAATAGTTTAAATTTACATATAATAGTAATAGTTAAAGTACAAGTATTGTGCAACATACTAGTTGTCGCCCACGACTCAGGGAAGGGGCAAAAATTAAAAAAAAAAACAGAATAAAAATTATAAAAGGTAAAAATTCAATTTAATTTACCTATTAAAATATTAATTTTAACATATTCTGCTTTTTTTTTTATTTCCATAAAATGTAGTTTTAAAGTCATTCTACAGAAGTTCTTTTTTTTCACCAATCGGTATAACACTGGCCCCTTGCATTATATTATAACAAACCAGCTTTAAAAATATGAATCGTCTTACAAGTTAAGAAAAAAAAACTGTCACTTTGATTTTTAATCTGTAAATTATACATTTCTGAAATAAGGTCCGAGTATTTAACACTTTTTGCTTTTAATTAAACTTTATGACAATGCAGTAAGGTTGATATTCGCATGATTAATGTTTAGTTTTAAATTTGTTATAATAGTCCACAGATGAAATATATGACAAAGATCTACCCCAACGAAACAGGTTCTTTTAAATTATGGCTTGTCAATTTTTTTTCGTATCGCGCATGTGTGTTAGCTCGCTTGCCAAACACGGCGGGGGGCGCAGCAAGGGGTGTGATCGAGAAAGTTAAATAGGGTTGTCAAAATATTATAGGGGATTTTTTTTCGTAAGTTTACTTTAATAGATTAGTTCCACAATGCGTAATATTTTATTACAATAGTTGTCATGTTTAATAGCAAATCGAATTAAAATTCTTTGTTTTAATTTAATATTTATCGAGTATAATTTTACTACTCTTCTTAAAATAATTTTATGCTCACTAAGTGACAATTAAATTGATTATTTAATTACTCAGAAAATAATAGTTAAAATTGAAAAAAAAATATTTTGTTCAACCCTACATTCAGAATAGCTATGCACTACCCGCACTGCAGGGGTCGCCACCATACAATATCCCACACACACACACACATCCTGCGTACATCAATAACATTGTAAAAGTGTGCGTAAATTCCCAGACACATATCACTTATATTTGGCACTGTACATAGATGATTCATTATTTACCATAGTTAAACTATTTTATTAAAAAGAAATAAATTAAATAGAAAAGTAGATTAAGACCTTAATGGATTGTATGAAAGAGGATATGCGTAAGAGAGTGAATTACATACTTCTTACTAATATTATAAATGCAAAAGTTTCGATGTATTGATGTTTGTAAGAAGGTATCTACAGAACTGTTGAATGAATCACGCTGAAAGGCATTGATATAGAACGAGTATGGAATAACACACAGGCTATTACTATTTCTTTTACATCTTCATAGAGTAGACATATAGAGTAAATAGCAGGAAATCGATGACTAAATAACTGGCCTGTCCAAACATCCAATGTAGTAAAATGATATGAGAATCAAATTGGAAGAAATGAATTTTTATTTACATAAAACTATTCGCTATCCGTTTTCTGCTAATTAAAATATTATAATATGAGATTAAATATAACTGAACTGTAATAAGATATACATATAAAATGATACTATAATTATGTAAATTGTTTACGCCTCATTATTAGGGTTCGAGAGGAAGGATACAAAATCTATAGATTTGAACAAAGAGTATTTAAGGTTATTTTTAAATTATAAAAATAATGAAGGTTATAGTCTGTCTAAACGTGAGTTTCTGAGAGCGAAATCCCCGTTTAAAACATAGCTCTGTTTTGTCAAAGATAATGACAGGGATGATATGTTAAACAGAGATTTTGGTCTCAAAAACTCACGGCTAGCGAGAAATTAGTTGTTGTTGCGATTAGTTCTATTAGAAAATACCTTTACGAAATAACTGAGCATCAGTATTTCGACAAATATCTTGTAGTTTGACAAAGACATGGCGTTGATAGAAACACCCTGCTATGAGTTATTATTAGTTTGTTTCTTAGAGTTACGTTTGCAAAACCAGGTACGTTAGTTGCATTATAAAACAATTTTCCCCATATTACTAGATATCGCCCGCGACTCTATCCGTGCGCAATTAAAAAATTATCAGTAGCCTATGTATTCTTCCAGACTATGTTATACTTCTATGACAAATATTCAGCGAGATCCATTCAGTTATTCTGGAGGTAACTTCTAATAAACATCCATTCGTCGGTCTATCCACACATTCGTAATTATAATATTATTATAGTACGATTTCTTGTATACGTTCGAAAACACGCAAATAATCGTAAGAACTCTCATGAATCGAGTTACGTTCGAAAACTATCCTTTGTCGATTGTTTTCTCGGAGACATTGAGTTGTGAACAATTGAACGGTTTTTATACGGAACTCTACACAATTGAACAATGCTCCTACTTCGCCGTTGCACGTGTATTGTATGATAATGGAAACGTAACCTTAACTGAGAGTTTGAAACACGTTCTTTTAAATATATTAGAAAAATAGAAATATTCATAATTAATTCTTAAGGTTTAAGCATCAAGCGTTTTTTTTTATATCATAAGGTGGCAAACGAGCGAGCGGCCACCTGAAATCGATGAAATGGCGAAGTGACTGTTGCCCATAGACATACGCAATTGCATATGCGTTGCCTACCTTTAATTGACGGAGGAGAGGATGCACAGAAAGAAAATATTTTACCTTCCTTTGCATCCTCTCATTCGGAAAGTCCAGTTCCACTTCCCATCTTTTCCTTATAAGAAAAAGGGTGGGAAGGAAAAGAGGACTAAATTAGGCCTCCGGAACGCACACTCATCAGACGAAACGCGGAATTGCTTCCACTTGACGCCCGTCTTCTGTGTGGTCTAGGTATTTCACCGGGCGAGCCGGGACAATTCGTGCGAAGATGTTCAAGCGGGCTCTACCACTGTTACTCTACGTTTTGTATATTTGCATCTACGAATATTTCCACTCTTAATATCAATTAAGAAATTATTCTAAGTATAACAGCCGCACTCAAAGTTATTTAAAAGTTACTTACCGTAAGTTTCTGAGACCGAAATCTCCGTTTAAAACAATGTGTTATGTTTTATACAAAAATTTGGTCTCAGAAACTAACGGTTAAACAATTACTTATTGTTGAATTTTCATAAATCTACACTAAGGGGCTTTCTTTGTGATTACTTTAAACTGAATTTATATGCTTTAGTTCGATATTAGACCTCAATTTAAATAGAAGTCTAAGTATGGGCTCATTGGTGTTTGATGAATCATTGAACAAAATCTCATTTCTTTTCCGTTATGGAGGATTATCATTGGAAAGCAAATCAAGAACAACAATACAGACAGTGAAAATACGTCTACTATATATATTCAACTCATTCTGGCTGAATGTTGATTTGGCCGGTGGAATATATTGGTTTATAGACGGCTTAGAAAATGGAAAGAGCTTCATTGAACTGACGTACATCGCTCCTTGTATAGCGTTAGCTTTTATGGCAAATATAAAATCACTATTCATGATAGTCAATGAAAAGCGAATTGACCAAATGATCAATAGTCTACGATTGTTGGAGATAACTGGATTGAATAGTAAGAGAGTTAAGAAGAAAGAAGAGATAGTGGCAGAAGAAAAGAGTTTCTTGTACTGCGTTATCAAAATGCTGAATATTTTAAATGTGATAGTCGTGTTGACTTTTTCTATCAGTCCGTTTATTTTGATGTTTGTTAATTATATGAAGACAACGGAATTGGAGCTCATGTTACCATTTTTCATTATTTATCCATTCGATTCTTATGATATTCGATACTGGCCTTTCGCTTATTTGCATCAATTTTGGTCTGGTAAGTTTATATTTAGTTTTGTCAAGGCTCAATGTTGGAGGACTTCTGTCTGTGTTGGCCCAAATATTGTCGGACCTAGCAGACGGAGTCCGCAGCATAGTGCCAAGGACTTGTAGTTGCAATTATTTTGTAATTTGTTTTATATGAGACTGGCATGTTCATAAAAACTAAAGTCCCTATTAAAAAAAAGAAAAATGATTATGAAAAATTTAATTTTCGACCAAAATGTATTATAATAATAACATTAAAATCACAGTAGACGCAAAAAATATAGAAAAAAAGATTTTATAAACCAAAATTACACATATTGCTTTGCGTAAAAGATAGAAAGGACTATGAGGCATATTCCCGTTCAGTTCAATAAAGGAATAAAAGATATCTAACCCTTATTGTTACACTTAGTGTACACTAAGTAAATGACTTCAAACCAGTATTTCTCGTTACATGTTTTCAGAATGGGTGGTAATTTTGGACATTTGCAGTGCTGATTACTTCTTTTTCACTTGCTGCAGCCATATCAGGACTCAGTTCTTACTTCTAGCGTATGACCTTGAGAATATCATCCCTGACCTTGGCAATAGTATCAGACAGAAAGCGGACGTAGATTTCAAGAAGAAATTCGAAGAAATGATAAGAAGACATCAAGTGATAATAGGGTAAGCAAGAAAATACTGTCACCCGCGACTCCGTCCGTGCGGAATTAAAAAAAAAATAGTAGCCTTTGTGGTCTTCCAGATTATGTTCTACATCTATGTGAAATTTCTATGCAGCCGTTCCGGAGATATTTTCAAACATCCATCCATTCAAAATTTCGCATTTACAATATTAATAAGAATAAGAATAATAAGAAGTTATAAGTAAGATATTTGGGCATATATTTTCATGCAAGAAAAATGGATGGATTGCTTGATTGGATTGGACAAAACAGATCACACGATTGATTAGACAATTACAGTGACATATATTGTTAGAGATCTTTTTTGAGACGATTTCTTTTTAATTTTTCTGAGTTTTAGAGATTTTTCAATTTTTTTTTCGGAAGCAAGACGAAAAGGATTAGTTTAAATAATAAAATTGCTTGTTTTATATCCTTGTTTGTCGATGTATTTGTGTATTTTTTCCCCAGTGCTGCCAGATTGTTAGAAGCAATATATTCAAAGTCAACGCTCTACAATTTCACTTCTAGTTCAATCCTGATCTGCCTCACTGGATTCAACGTTGTGGTACACATTACTTTATTCTTTCTCTTTATTAACATTAAATGCTTCACGATTTCGTTATCATTATAACTTTCCTAATGATTTAACATTTGGAACGATGAGTATATAATTATTTATTTAGTAGTTTTGTTTCTAAATCAACAATTTCTTATTATCAACTGAATCCTGAATCCTGCAGCGTCTGTGGCTCAGTGGTCAAGCACTTGACTTGCAATCTGCAGGTCCTGGGTTCGAATCCCGCCATGTGCCAATTTGTTTTTCGAATTCCGATTTACATATGTACATTTATCCGACGTTCTTACGGTGAAGGAAAACATCGTGATGCAACCTACACATATCTGAGAAGAAATTCAAAGATATGTGTGAAGTCAACCAACCCGCACTTGGCCAGCATGGTTGACTATGGCCTAATCACCCTTAACTTAGGGTAGGCTCCGAGCCCCTCGGTGGGGACGTATAGTGAGCTGATGATGATGATGATGATGAACAGAAACCTCCGTCAAATTAACTTGGCCGTCCCATCCTTTCCTTATAAGAAAAGAGTGGGAAGAGAATACTAAAACTAAGCTCATACATGAGATAAATTCAATGATATATTTATTCCCTATTGAATTATTTATCTACATTCTATGTATCCTTGTCTTATAGTATTAAATTTCTCCAGGCTATAGAGGATGTAGCTCTCATCGTGACATTCCTGCTGTTCCTCTCCATGTGTCTTCTGCAGGTCTTTTTCTTATGCTTCTTTGGAGATATGCTCATGAGATCCGTAAGTTTAGACATTACATGTAACTCAATAGATGCAATTTATTGAGTTCTTGCAAATCTATTTATGGACATATGGATGGAAATAAAGTACATGTTTTCATTGATAGGTTTACGATTTTTAAGTCTTTTTATTTGAAGTTTCTAACGTGCATATTGAATTCACAAAACGCTAACAATAGAATCGTAAAGACCAAAGCCTAATCACGCCTACTAAGAGTAGGCTACCAGTTGATTAGTAGAGGCGTATAGTAATCTGATGATGAAATTTGAAGATATAATACTGAATAATCTCATGGTACTTCTTTGTGTTCTTATTTTGTATATTTTAAATTAATATTAACATTGAACTTTTCAACAGAGTATTACAATAAGCAATGCCGTGTACAATAGCCGCTGGTACACTGCCGACCAGGTTATTACCAAGAGTTTCCTCATCGTGCTTACCAGGTCAGTATTCAACAGTACCAGACAAAGAGTAGTGTAGAAAGTTAACGTTAAACTTCACATATCCTATGATGTCCTAGTACTTTATAGTTTTTGGTTCTGTCAGCCTTCAACATTACCAGGACAAAGAGGAAGGTAGAACGTTAACGTCATTCACACTTCACATGTCCTATGATGTCCTAGTACTTTACAGTTATAACTTCTGTGAGCTTTCAAAATGTTGAAGGCCCACAGAAGTTATGGTAATGGTAATGACCAGGACCAAGAGGAGGGTAGAAAGTTAATCAGACTTCACGTATCCTATGATGTCCTAGTTACCTTGCCTAGTACCTTAGTAGTTTTAGCTTCTATGGACCTAGTACGAATATTTTTGAAATTTGGTCATCGACTAAATTGTTATTAAAACATGTGCATCGCCTCCTATCGGCTGTTAAATATACCAAAAATCTCATACTAATATAGTCATAAATGACGATACGGTAGCATTTGTCACAAATATTCGTGTTAGGGTCACTATTCTGTTGTTGTCTTTGTTATTATGAAACTATATGTTCAATGTGATTTTGCGACTTGAACGATTTTAAGATATTTATAGTTTCGTTGTCAGGACAGTAAGGGTTTACGACAATATACATGTAAATCTGTAACTTACTCTTGGAAAAATACGTTATATAAAAATCCGAATGACGTCAATGGAAACGACAGATTAAAAACCAATTGTAACGATATTAACGAAATGGCAGCTGTATTTCTAAAGTTTCCCAACTTGAAGAAAAACAAAAGAATACGCAAACTGTCTAAAAATATGACAAAGTAAAAAGTACGAGCAAAAAACTTGAATGTTTAATTTCGTATTTCCAAACGCACGATATGAAGACGCGTTCAAACAACGTATTTTTTTTTTTGCAAATTAAAATATAGTTATTTAATTTAATACTGAAAGTTGTAAAATATTAGTAGTAATGCTAATCTTACTAATATTATAAATGCGAATGTTTAGATGGGTGAATGGTTGTTTGCTTGTAGGTATCTCGAGAACGTCTGAACGGATCTTGATGATATTTGGCATAAATATAAAACATAGTCTGGAATATTACACAGGCTAGTAAATATGTTTTTTCTTTAATTCCACGCGGACGGAGTCGCGGGCGATCACTATTGTTTCTTTATATTTGATTTAACAGTTTCAAATGAAGAATCAGAGATTCGAATTTGTTAAATACTTCTCTAGAAAGACAAAAGAATCAATCGATTTGATTTACACTTGAAACAATTATGGTATATTTATTAATAAAAGTTTTGGTAACAAAAGCAATTAGATTTGTTGGAATAGAGGACGCATCGGAAAGGGATATATTCTCTGTGCGTCCTCTGTCCACTTAATGTAGGCAACGTGCCATTGCACTTGTCTATGGGCAGTGGTCGTTCTGCTATTTCGATGAGCTCAGATGATAATTACGATATAAAAACAATTGAATCATAATCGCTTTTTAAAAAAACAAAAATATTAATTTCCATTTTCAAAAAGTCACCAGTTTGTAAGCACCTTTAGACCGAGAGTGTACATTATTGTGAAACGAGCAATTTTCCTCACAATTTATTTTCAGATCGCAGAAGCCATGTAAGTTGACAGCTATGGGTTTCGTAGACGTCAACCTGATGGCGTTCACGAGCGTGAGTTATACAACTTCCTATGAGTTTACAATGTCGAAACACTTGTATAAAAACATTTGCATCCCTCTCATTCTCTAAAAAATCAATAGAGATAACAGTATTTTTCAAAACATGTGTTACGACAGTAAAATACCAAAGTCATTTTGAATATTTAATTTATAGAATTTAATCTTTTTGTAGGTATTAAGCAGTTCTTGGTCGTATTTCTGTCTTTTGAACACCATGTATAAACCATACACTGATTAGAAAATGAAAAAAAAATAGTAATTAGCTTACTTATGCTTATTTAGACTTCATTAATCAGTGGCCGGTAATTTTTTGTCAAACTATACGTGTTTGTCAAATCATTCGATAGCTTGTAACTTTGTGACTTATTTCCTATATTTGAAATGTAAGCACCTTTACTTTTGGAAAAAATTAAGCGGTGACAAATGTATTTTATAATTTATTAAATAGCCATTATATATTGAGAATATTGTTGTTTTATTTAACGTCGTTTTAATTAATGAGAGCGTCGGTGGCTCAGGGGTCAAGCACTTGACTTGCAATCTGGAGGTCCTGGATTCGAATACCGCCATGTACCAATGTGTTTTTCGATTTTCCGATTTACATATGTAAATTTATCCGACGTTATTACGGTGAAGGAAAACGTCATGATGCAACCTGCATATATCTGAGAAGAAATTCAAAGATATGTTTGAAGTCAACCAACCCGCACTGGGCCAGCGTGGTTGACTACGGCCTAATCACCCTTAACTTAGGGTAGGCTCCGAGCCCCTCGGTGGGGACGTACAGTGAGCTGATGATCATGATGATGTATTAACTATTGTTTAATTAGAATCAATATAAATAAAATAAAATAGAATAAAACGATAGTACGTATTTAGTTAAAATACCTGAGACTTTCTTTACCTTATACCAACATCGATCCTTAACCAATAATTTGCAGTAACAAATGTATAATTACTTCAAGGAACACTTCAAGCATAACAGATAATTACACAAATACTTAAATATAAGGTACAAAAGGTGTTTGTTTTCGTACTTTGTAATAATTAATAACTTATACAGGATGTTAAAAGTTTATCAATAAAAATTTAAATTATAGTTAATCACTTTACATTTTTTGTCTTAACCTATTAAAAAATAGAGTCTTGACAGACAGACGGACGGACAACAAAGTGATCCTATAAGGGCTCCGTTTTTTTCCTATGAGATACGGAACCCTAAAAATATTATAGTAGATTTTCTTTAACATAGATCTCAAATATTTCAGAACAAACAAAAAAGGTTACTTGACTTTTCTAACGTTATTGTAGGTTTGCAGCAAAAAAAAATTGAAATGGATTATATGTTTTAATTTAAATCTATACCAGGTGCCGCCGCGACTCCGTTCGTGCGGAATTAAAAAATATATACTAGCCTATTCTCAGATGTACTGAATATGTATATAACATTTCATAAAAATCGATCAATCCGTTTCGGAGGAGTATGGTAACTAACATTGTGGCACGAGAATATTATATATAAGAAGAAACACAGTTTAATATTTATCGTCTCTTATATTTTAGACATTATTAGTTAGAATCATTTGGCGCGCTTTCGTTACCAAGTCAAGTGTCAGATTCGATTAGTGAGGGGACATAAACGTTGACATTTTAATAACGCTAGTGTTGCGCCGTTAAACCGGCACACTTTCGGATTTTCTTCCTAACAGTTTGTGTTAAAATTAAATTACTTAAGGATGACAAAAATTAATCGTCCCGGAGGCCTTATATAGTCCTCTTTCCCTTCCCACCCTCTTTCTTATAAGGAAAGAATGGGAAGTGGAAGTGGACTTTCCGGATGAAAGGATGCATGGAAAGGGAAAATATTTTATTTCTGCGCATCCTCTCCTCCGTCGATTAAGGATGGGCAACGCATATGCAATTGCGTATGTCTGTATGTGGGCAACGGTCACCTCGCTATTTCAGCGATTTCGAGTGGCCGCTCGTTCGTTTGCCACCTTATGATATAAAAAAATAATAATACAGTTCAATTTGTTAAAGAATGATAAAGAAAAGATTAACAAATTAATATAATACTCTTTTCACGGAAGAACAAACTAGAGTTGACTAAACAATGAAAATCGTAGACAATGATCAAGGTTCCGTTACAGTTTTTTTTTATTGTTTACAAACAATACGATAAAAAGCATACTTAATTTTACCCATTGTAATTTTTCTTATAAAAACCGCTTAAAAATGACAAAATTTGGTATTTAAAAAGATAATCTTAAAAAGCAATAAACCCAGTTGGAAACCAAGTCTGGTAGTTCTTGCACCAGATCATATAATCTCAAAATAAGAATCCAAAACTAACAATATACAGCCATCTCTTTCCATCACTATTTATGTCTTCCATCTCTCTCGCGTAACGAAATGCATTTTCGAGACTTTTTAACATTTTGGTTTACTCAAACCCTCTCGTGAAGACTCTAGAAGAGCCTTAAATGATGTGACATGGAAATCAGTCATCTCTGCTTACTCTATTACTTTTATAAGCATAATTGATTAAAGTTTCACTTAATAAAGAAGTTTGCAAACAGTACAATGTACAAAACAAGTTCTCATACAGTTAGAACGACAGTTGGAATATCTTTTTTTCCTTTTCACGGCAGCATAAATCGCGTAAAGCCCTTTCATCACGTTAGAGCGGCTCCGGAATTTGAATGTCGGGTTTGCGTTTCCTTTTTAATCTGTGCACCAAGATAAATTACTACCAGCGCTCGTGTCTCGTTAGGGATACGCGCGAAAATGTCTAATCTTAAAACCTTTTTCATTAATAGTTTTTCATGAGTATGATTTGTTTCTTTAAGCATTTTAAAATTGTAAAAAGTATAACATTCGTTTATCTATTCAACCCATTTGTAATAAACACAAAAATAAAATGTAGGAGGGCACTACGATAAAGTTTCTAGGCGCAACCAAAGTTATAGTTAGCCATAGTCTGCGACATCGTCTAAGTGAAATTATAAAAATGAATAAAGCCTGTACTATGTGTACGTAGCTTTCTAATGACAATATACATTTTGGAAGCGGTCGACTAGTTTTTGAGTTTATTCGTTACATAGAAAAATACAAATTTATCCTCTTTATAATATTATTAGTATAGGGACGTAGATATAGATTACTCCAAAAGCCGTGCTACATTGTACATGATTTCAAAAATAATTTAAAATTAGATAAGCAAGATTTGCAATAAGAGCTCTCAGTCCCATTTTTGGGAAGTCTATTTTCATTTTGCAAATAAAACTCTTTGTACGGAACCAAGTATTTAATTCCAATTTACACTTGGCCGTGTTGTTGTTCGTTCGGTGGTCCTATAACGTCCGAAGCGTCGTCTGTTTTTATTCGCTCACTTCAGCAACAAGTTGCAACACAACGAAACTCGATTCATGGCTCGGCTCGTAGTTTTTACGTTCCCTCGGTAGAGGGAACGTAAAAATGTCCGTTAGGACTATCATTTGTTTTTATTGGTGCTTAATTGTTATTAAACATATTAATATAAAAACTACTTTTGGATTATGCTTAAAAATAAAATAGTACGTATCGCCTTCAACTTAATGTAAAAGAGAAGGGTACCTATCTTAAATTAGGAGGTACGAAGCCTTCGTTAACCACGCTGGCTCAATTCGTATTGACTTTAAACTTTATTAATTTTCCTCTCATATGTGAGCAAGTTTCATCATAATATTTTCGTATCTGTATGAACCAGTGTTACTCAAGTAAGTAGTTTAAAAATTCTTTTTAATCCAAATAATGTTCAAAAGCACCATGTATATTCACATTTGTAATTAGAAGTTCATTAATTAAAACCTTTCGAGGTGTTGATAAACGAAATAGCCTAATTACGCTGTCTGTTTAGTTATTTAAGACAACACGAACTATAAAAGACGCCATTTTGTATTGTAATCGAAGACAATGGCGGTCGAATCGCTTTTCGATGTAACATTGAAACGTTTAAAATTAATTTTAATTTTATCGGGTTTGAATTTGGAAAAATGTAATCGTCGACAAAAAATTAAAAGGAGATGCGTTTTTATTTTTAATTCCATATGGTTGAATAGTGATATAATTGGAGCTGTATTTTATTTTATTGACGGTATAAAGAATGGAACAGATATGACGGAAATTACATATCTAGCGCCATGTGCGATGCTTAGCGCAGTATCTAATTTAAAATCATTTTATTTGATAACTTACAATAAATATGTTAATAATTTAATCGATGAATTAAGAGCACTCGAGATAAACTCGATTAATTATAATACCAACATAAAAAATCAAATCGAAAAAGAAGAGCGTCGATTTTTAAATGTCGTTATAAATTTATTGAATATTTTAAATATTGGTATGGTGGTTAATTTTACTTTTAGCCCATTGATTCTGATTGCTATAAATTACGTAAGGACAAAGGAAGTTGAACTTATGCTGCCATTTCTAGACGTGTACCCATTTGATCCGTTAAATATAAAATACTGGCCATTGGTATACGTCAAACAAATATGGTCAGGTAATGTTATTTTTTTTATCCTAACATGATATTAAGGTCCTCGGAAAGTGCACTTATAAACTATTAAAAGAAATAAAAGTCAAGTCGACGATAGGATTGCAAAGCGCGTGTAGGAAATTTCATAATTTCCATACGATATTTTATGTGGTGTGATCACAGGATTTTTGTTCTCCAAATAGACTGTACAGGAAAAATAAAGTTGTCTTTAAAGTAATTAAAATTCTGATAGTTATGCTTAAGGTCAAATTTGCACTCAGCATTTAGCCGCAGAACTCTTTCGGCCATTTTTTTGTAGGTCGCGAAACTTTTTTCAAGTAATCATTACGATAGCTGCACGCGGACAGTCGCGCGATCAGCTGCTAAGTGGAAAAAGACTTTTATATCTATAATCTTAATTTACAGAATGCATAGTACTACTAGAAATATGTGCGGCTGATTATTTCTATTACATTTGTTGTACCTACATTCGAATCCAGTTTCGACTATTAAGTTACGAATTGGAAAATTTAATTCCTACTAAACCGTATGACCAGGATATCAGAGGTAGACTGTTGGAATTAATAAAATGGCATCAACATCTTATAAGGTAAGACGTTTAAGTAAAATAGTCATTAGTAAATTGTTTAAATATATTGTTAAACACAATTTTGCCGGCTTCTACCATCCATTTTCACTGCCGACACATTTTATCTATTATAAGTTTTTTATGTAAATTTGCATTGGATGGAAACGGAAAAAGGAGGAAGAGATTAAGCGACATAAAAGATACAAATAAAAAAGTAAAAAAAATTTGGTGAAACACATAAGCATTAAAATTCTTTTACGGGCCTAGCTGATCCTCATCCATACGAATGACACTGGTGCAAAATTGTATGCAAATTTATTCAATAGTTTTTGAATTTATCGCGTTTTAACAGACTGACCCAACGTGAGCAGTCTGTTTTACGTAGAATTTTTTTTACTCTTTGCCCAATTAATTCAAAAATCGAACGTCTTTTTATTTCAGCGTGACAAACATTTTGGAACTGATTTATTCCAAATCTACTTTATTCAATTTTTTCTCAAGTTCGGTGATAATTTGTCTTACCGGTTTCAACGTTACGGTTTGTATTCAAATTTACGCGCGCTTTTTTGACGCGACGTTAAAACTCTCAAGCGATTTTAAAACCACTCTTATTCCGTTCGCGCAAAGTTCATAATGCAATACTACGCGATAAAAGTTTCGCGTTTTAATAACGCTGTCGTATCAGATATGCTTTTAATATATTAGAACGCGTTTGAACTTGCGTTAAAAAAGCGTCCGTGCGAATGATGCTTAGTTTTGTACTCTCCGCACTGTATTAAGCAAAGTTTTTATTTCAGGCCATAGACAATTTGGCGTTCGGCGTTACATTTCTGACGTTTCTATTTATGAGTTTACTTCAAATTTTCTTTTTATGCCTCTTTGGTGATATGATCATGAGATCGGTAAGAAATAAATCTATTTTGATTTTTTTTGAAAATCCTTATAAATTTGGATATAATTAAAATTTAATTTCAGAGCCTGGAAGTAAGCGATGCTGCGTACAATTGTCTATGGTACTCAGTCGATCAAAGACTAACTAAAGACCTAATGATTGTGCAAATTAGGTTTGTGAAAAATATTTGTTATTTTATAAACATAATCAATAAATTACTCAAATTTAATTTAGCTTAAGTCACCTTTAGTTTTAATTATGGAGTAACTAGCTGTAGCCCGTGACTCCGTCTACGCGGACTAAAAAAGATAGGCTATGTGTTCTTCGAGACTACGTATGTATGCCGAATTTTGTCGAGATCCATACAAGTGTTTTGGAAATACCTTCAAACAAACATCCATCCATCTAAACATTCATATTTATAATATTAGTAAGAAGTAAGATTTTCTTTACGATGTTATATTCACAATTATTTTCCAGAGCTCAGAAACCATGCAAGTTAACTGCTATGGGATTCGCAGATGTCAATCTCAGGGCTTTCACACGAGTAAGTAATTTACGTATTACTTCTCTTTCTCTTTAACTCTCTATTTCTCTACTTTTCCAGTGTGCTCTGTGCTCATTTTAATGGAATTAATCTTCTAATTACAGGTACTGAGTAGCTCTTGGTCTTACTTTTGCCTTTTAAACACTATGTACACGCCGACAACTCACGAAAATTAATACGGAAATAATTTAAAACACACTTGTTTATGTAAAAGAGCAAAGGGAGCTGAAAACCAACGCAGTGTAGGCCGAGTCAACCCTTGTATCGGCTTAGCTGACCACCTTTGGTCTTAATTTTGTGTATATTGGATCATAAGTGATTTTTTCTTATGTGGAAATAATCGTTTATTCTATTTTATTATATATCTAGCAGTTGACCGCGACTTCGTCCGTGCGTATATAATTAAGATCTCGTAATACAGCCTATGTAAACCGTGGATAGATAGCTTTCGAACAGTGAATGCAATTCAAATCGATTGAGTAATTTCGTACGTTATTCAATGCGAACAAACAAACATTTCCTCTTTATATAAATATAGATAATTTTTCCTTAATATAAATGTATTTATTGTTATTAAAAAATAATTATAAAGTACATAATATGAAAATTATAAAGTTAAAAAGGAATAATTCCTACTTAAAAGAACTAATAATTATGTTATCAAGAAACTTTACAATTGTAACTACTAATTACAGAAAAACATCTGAATATTTTAGTACTCTATATGGACGCTAGTATTTATGACTGTACTAGCTGTCACCCGCGACTCCGTCTGCGTGGAATTAAAAAAAAATTAACCGTGTAACAAACATCCATCCATCCAAACATTGGTATTTATTTTATTAGTAAGATTGTTAATTAACTTTTATAAGGATGTTTAAATATACTAAAAGATAATTTATTTGTGACATTAAGTTATTGGTTAAGAAATCAATTTAGCTGCATACTTCAAGATTAAGACCTACAAAAACTCTTTGGTTATTTTCTTTCTTTTTAATCATAGGGTTGCTTATTTGGCCTTCATGCCTAAACAAAGGTAAATAATATATATATATATATATATATATATATATATAATATTGAATTGTGTATTGCTTACTTATAACATTATTTTCATCACTTTTAAATAAATTAAAATAACCTTAAAAGTGAATTTTATTTGAATGGATTTTATTTAAAACTAGCCGTCGCCCGCGACACCGTACGCACGGAATTGAAAAAACATAATTAGTAGCGTATGTGTTCATCCAGACCAGGACCACATCAGGACCAGTGATCCGTCCAGTCGGTCTGGAGATACCTTCAAATAAACATCCATCCATCTAAACATTCGCGTTTATAATATTAGTTAGAAGTAAGATTTTTAAGTCCTCATAGTTGCCTCCATAGATCGTCTAGAAATTATTTTACTTTAAACAATTAACACCTTTTATATAAACTTTTATAATAAACGATAGAATAATTAAATCAGTAATAGTTAAGCAAAACAACACATTATGTTGTCTATTAAATTATTCAAAAATTACTCATAACGTATATAAAAGACCGCCATTTTGAATTTGAATTTTATATTGTTAACAAGATGTCCGAAGCTACACTGTTAAACAAAACGTTGAATCGTTTAAATTTAATTTTCCTTGCTAGTGGAATAAATTTGGAACATAAAAAATGTAATCGATTAACGAGAATAAGAACAAGATGTATATATATTTTTAATTTCATTTGGCTGAATAGTGACGTGCTTTGTGCTATATTGAATTTTATAAAAGATTTAAAAACCGGTACAAACATGACTGAAATGACGTATTTAGCGCCGTGTGCAATGTTGAGCACGGTTGGGATTTTTAAATCATTCTTTTTAATTATCTATGGTAATCATATAAATAATTTAATTGATAATTTACGAGAACTGGATGAGAAAACAAATAAGTATATTGCAGTGAAGAATAATATTGAAAAAGAAGAAGGAAAATTCGTAAATTCCGTAATAACTTTACTGAATATTTTCAATATTTGTGTTGTATTTGATTTTACATTTACTCCTATTATAAAAATTGTTAAAAAATACATTTCTAGTGGAGAATTAGAGCTAGTTCTGCCACATAAAGTGGTATATCCATTTGATGCTTTCGACATAAAGTATTGGCCGTTCGCATTCTTTAAACAGAGTTGGTCAGGTAATACTATCCATTTTTATATATGCACTTAACTCGCAAAACGTCCGCCTAAAATAATTAAAACTTAATAAGTAACCTATGTGTTCCAAACTATGTTCTCCATCTAAGCTAAATTTCAAAATGATCCGTTAAACCGGAGATATCTTCTAACAAAAATTCATCTATTCATCAAAACATTCGCATTCATAATATTAGTAAGATTTTATAACTAAAGGAATAACGAACTTGTTGGTTTCTAAGACCAAAATTTCTGTATAAAATAAATCTTTATAAAGAACTTCGGTCTCAGAAACCAACTAAGAAAATAACTTCAAGGGTTAGTGTTAATTATTTAACAATTGAAAGTCTATGTTTAGCTTAGTTCATTTTTTTTAATTAAAACATATTACCAAGAATGGCTTCTCAACCGGTCAGATGACCTATTAAAAAAAGGGGCCGTTATGTCTAGAGCTATCGGTGTGGCAAATTTAGAAAGTTTTAGCCTCTTTGAGCATTTTAACGGCGATAAATACCGGTATGTGTTATTTAAGAAAAATATATAATAATTAAGTTTGTACTTTTTGTAGTATTTTTCTGATATCATGCCGAATAAGATTATTTATTTTTAATTTCGTTGAGCCTTATGTTTTTCGGTGAAACAAATATAATTTTAGACATTATTAGTTAGAATCATTTGGCGCGCTTTCGTTACAAAGTCAAGTGTCAGATTCGATTAGTGAGGGGACATAAACGTTGATATGATAATAAGTATAATGTTGCGTCAATACACCGGCACAGTGTCGGATTTTCTAACTATAAATAATGCGAAATATTTACACACAGATTATATTATGAAATTCGAGTAATATATGCCTCAGAACGAATGAAAAACACTGAAGAGAATGTATAAAAGTGGTATTTACTCTTTGGTTTATACTTATCTGATTACGCAGACTTTTATCAAGTAACTACCGAACACCCACGACTTTGGTAGCGTGGAATTTAAAAAAAAACAATTTCCACGCCCACATATCTTCCAGTAACAGTCCCGCTAAAATCGGTCCAACAGTTTTAGAAATTACCCGGAACAAACGCGGATATGCACGACAGGATCGACATACAAAAATTTTAACAATTGCTTTTTTATCAGCAACGCAAATACATGTGTACAAAATATGACATTTTTTCGACATCAAATACAGGGTTTTTTTTATGCATATAAAACATTTATTTATTTACATCCTCATTTCTATGAATACATAAAGTCTTAAATCTATGATAAAATAAAATTAAAAAAAAAACCGAATAATTAACTAAAATATGTTAATAAAAGGAGTCTCTTTAGGCAAGGTCCCGAAGATACTGGCAGCGTTCCCCCTCTGTACAGCTAAACTAATTCTTTGACCGAGGTAGCTGCCAGCTCTTCGGTCCCCTGTGTATAGATCGCTAAGTATAGTATAATACAGGGTTGTATTATACTATACTTAGCGACTACTACGATTAATGCTACTACTATGGATAGCGACGTTAGTGTTTAAATTATTTTTTTCCAGAATGTATAGTGCTTCTAGAAATGTGTGGAGCTGATTATTTCTATTACATTTGTTGTACATTTATAAGAATACAATTCCGTCTATTATGTTATGAATTTGAAAACTTAATCCCATCACGGCATTTAAATGAGGAAGAACAAAATATAGTCAAAAGCAAACTTATTAATTTAATAAAACGGCATCAAGAATTAATAAAGTAAGTCAACATAACTTGAGTTTCCACTGTCGATAAGTTTGTTACAAAAACATATTTTTATAATCTAACCAAAAATATAAAAATCTTGGTCTGGATGCGCTTCAATTGCCTTTTTTAGACTTTCTAATGTAACCAAAAGAAATAGTTCCATAATATTCGGCAATATGGCGAGTAGTTTTATATTCCTGATCGGGCTATAATTTTTTCAAAGTTTTTTTTTAATCGCGTAAATATAAACATACTAGTTGTCAACCGCGACTGCTCTCGCGCGTAATAAACTATGACCTACATCTATATCAAATTTCAGCGAGATCTACGCAAACGTTCTGATGACACCTTCAAACATCCATCCATCCAAACATTCTCATTTATAATATTAGTATGATTTTTCTAGATGTACAAGTACGCTTGATATGATATATTCAAAATCTACTTTATTTAATTTCGTATCCAGTTCAGTGATTATTTGTCTAGCTGGATTTAATGTTAAAGTAAGTACTATATTTCTTGTTAAATAAAATTATAATACTCTACTAATACGCAATTAATTATTTTTTTGTAACAAACCTTGTCAGCGTGGATCTAAGAATTCTGGTCATCTCTTTTGATATGTCTTTAGCTGTAAAAAAAATAATTAATTAATAAAATATTATATAATAATACTGGCTGATATTATTTAATGTATTAAAACGACAAAAAATGTGTAAGCCAGTTTATTACACAAAAGAAATATTTTTAATAAAACCGCCATTTTGTTTTTAGGCTACAGACAACATAGCGTTGGCCGTTACATTCCTAACGTTTTTATCAATGAACCTTTTTCAAATATTCTTTCTGTGCCTCTTTGGCGACATGATAATGAGGTCGGTAAGTAAAATAGTTAAATACCGGTTTCGTTAATATCATTTAAACGATTGCATCAGGTGTTAACGGAAGTCGGGATGTTTAAACTTAGAACTGGTTATTTTTTTGTTGTTTTAATTTCACAGAGTATGGAGGTGAGCGATGCTGCGTATAACTGTCTATGGTATGCAGATCGTAATGTTGCCAGAGATGTGTTGTTAGTGCAAATTAGGTACGTATGAATATGGATGGTATAGGCAGGTGGATAATCTTCTCCATTTTTTTACTTAACGATTTTGCTGTTTAATATGATAATGACGGACAAAAAAATATTGGATAATTTATGATTCTTCAACAAAGTTCTAAGGCTTGGTAACCCTTCGTTTTTAGTATATTATTTTGCGTATTTAAAGTTTTCTTGGACGACAAAAACTAGACTGTATATCCCACGAGTTTTAAAGTCCTACTCTACTGTTGTTATAGAGCTCAAAACCCTTGCAAACTGACAGCATTTGGTTTTGCTGACGTCAATTACATGTCATTTAGTAAGGTGAGAAATTTGTAAATTACATGTTATTATTTACTGGCAACACTCTTAACGTTTTTAAATTAATTTCAGATAATGAGTACTTCATGGTCGTATTTCGCACTACTAAATACAATGTATAACGAAAATCAAGAAAACTAAATGCATGCATAAAATAACTTTTTAACTATGCAATTTAGGGTTATACGTCTGGCTTATGTACACATTATATATTATCTATCACATGTACCAAACATTAAGTAAAAATTACAGGAAAAAAAACAACATAGAAAATAAAATAAAAATGTTACACTGATCATTTCCTTTGGAATATTGTTTTAAAATTCTACAGTTCAAGTTGAACATCGAAAAAAAAACACGCACTGGCCGAAACGAAACCGACTTTTATTTCCGCATGAATACGAAAAACGAAGTTGTATCCATGAGTCACTCCCGCTCTTGAAAAATGACCAAGGATTTATTGGCGCCAATTGTTACACACCACATCCGTTTATTTGGTGACATTTCAACGAAAATTTAAAAATAAAAAAGCAAACGCATTTATTTCATTTTGAATATAGAATGTTATATAATATAAATTTAGCTTCTACGATTTTATTTGGTACTAGCTGTCGCCCGCGACTCCGTCCACGCGGTATTAAAAAAACATAATTAGTAGCCTATGTGTTCTTCAAGACTATGTTCTGTATATATGCCAAATTTCAGATAGATCCGTTTAGCCATTCCGGAGATACCTTCAAACAAACATCGATCCATCCATCAAAACAAAATTACCTTCATTCATATGCCAAATTTGCTAAGAAGTTATACAAAGGTTTTGTTCACGTATTAATACATATTATAATTAACAAACATTGTTATACGTTGCATACCCTCTATAAACATTTTTAACAGAAAGTTCGTAGAAATGAACATCAATCAATTATCGATACTGGTATTTTTCTTTCGAATCAAAATTACAAGCCTCGTTCACTAGTTCGAGCAAAAATTACAAAGATGCCCGGCGTTTTACGAACCGACATGTTTTCGAAAACTAACCTTAAATTAATCCAACAACAAAAAAATCCAGCCTCAGGTAGTCACGAATTCACATAGGCCCGTTCAACACAAAAAAAAAGATCGAAATTTCCAAGAATTTTGCTTCTAGAAACCTTTGTAAGATTTTTTTGTTCTCGTCTTGTTACATTTCTCTTAAATTCTGACAACTGATAATTTTCAATCGTAATTCAAACGCAACAGAGTATACAACGTCTTATATTTAAATCAAATATTTATTTTTCTTTGATTGGTTTACTTGGTAAATGTCAAAAATTTTCGGTTTTTATTGAAGTGTTCTATTTCTTTAGATATGTTCTGTGGCGTTTCATTTCTAGAATATTTCTTCGAAATTTGCCTTAATTAAATAATTATGCTTGATTTTCCTTGCGCAAACACAGTTTTAACATATCAAATTATAATTTACTTGATTAAAAAGTCTAGTAACACGTGTACTTATAGATTATTCACAATAAGTCATGTCTTTTAACTACTGCCAATAGAAATTGACTTAGATTAGTACATTTTATCCTAATTACCTTTATATTTCAGTGTAATATTAATAAACTGTTTCAGTTTACAGTAGCCAAATTGTTTAAATTCGGTTTGACAACTGTTCAATTAGCGCTATGTATGCGACAAGCTTATTTGGGCCGGTAAGTGAGTTGCTGCTAACATGTTTAAACCTTTCAGAAAATGTGTAAAATATACAAGGCATAGGAAATGAAAGAAAGGCAGGCATTAAAGAAAAAATTTGACAAGACAATGAAACAAGGATGTTTTGACACTTTTTTGACATTGAAAGGGGGGCGCCAGTGTATATCATAATTTATTTTGAATTATGCACACCGGGTTAGATAAATTTGTCGGTCCATAAATTATATGATCGCCATACCGAGTATTACATAAGATTATATATATCAGACTTTTTGTATCTGTGTCAGACGCTAAAATAGTTACGTTAAAATAGTCATATCGACTCGCACTCGCACGCAACAATTACGGAAATAATATTGCGTGTCCGGGCAATTAACAAGATTTATAAACTTTGTTTTTTGAACAAATGACACAAAAATATAAAACTTATTAAATTAATTGACTGTAGTATTTCCTAAAAGTCACAAACTGTGTGTACATAACTTTTGATTTTCAAATTAGGCATCAGATGAAATATTCTTCTCTTGTATTCAAAAAATGTTTCCTTTCAAAATCGGTATTTCAATCTTTTCATGACTATTAAATAAGTAAATTATGTATAAACAAATATTTAATAACATGAACAAATAGAAATATTTATCATTAATAACTTATAAACAAATGAGAAATAAAGAAAATTATTAGAACTTATTCTAACTTAGTCTGTGGTTATGACGAAATGTCGGTAACAGAGTTACTGGCAGGCGTGCTGTTTTATCTACGCAGCACTTGCGAGCTGTCATGGCGTATTGTGGTATACGTTTCTGTGTACAGTAAAACATAAATAATGATTCTTAGGCGGAAAATACGTGAAATGTGCTTTAAAAATTATTGTGGCTATTCCAAAGTATCATGATTAATGTTTATTAGTGTAAATAAACGTGACAATGGACAAGAAAAATGCTATTCGGAGGGCAAAGAGGCCTTCGAAGGCGTTAGAAGAAAATTATTGGGATTGTAGTGTTTGCACATACAGAAATAACGCGGAAGCTTTTAAATGCTCAATGTGCGACGTTAGAAAAGGTAATTTGATTAATTTTTTTATATTATAAAGCCCCACGCCCTGTAGTCAAGTGCAAGACAATGTCCGAAAGTCCTTCAAAAATTTAGGTCGTTCCAAGGGTTATTGAGCTGGTTTTTGTATACGCTTGTAGATTTATAATCAATACATGGGTTGATGATGCACTAAATGTACAAAGATTGTTAAGCATAGCATTGCGTAAATTAGGAGCATTCAACTTAAACATAGTTCTGTTCAATTATGTTTCTACTAAAATTAGCCGAAGAGTAAAGTGCCTAACAATGACACCTAACATCACTTTCTAATTTCCTAACAGACAACAAAACCTATAAGTTTAAAATTGGAACATTATTAGTTTGAATTGTATTTAACTAATGATAGTTGTTTGCACTTGTTTCAAGTATTTAAATAGTTTATAGAAGCTATAGAAGTATACGATTTTGTTACAAAACACGAATACATTCAACTGTTACACGATTTCCTAATTCCAGACATGCCTAGTAGTAAACAAATTACTCTAAATAAAATTAGTTCCTATAAAATTCACACGACTGACGAGCGCTAGTATTGCGTATAACCCGACTAATATAAGAAGTCAAATGAAGCAATACTATACAGTACAATGTTCGAGACTTCTAAAATTATTTGTGTTCTAGTCGTTGACCTCCGTAACGTATGCATCGGCGTATAGGATGAGTATACTTATATGCATTCAAAATATGTTTATCTTACCAATTAGTCACGATAGCTAAGTTGGGTAGCCAGACTGCCTATTTAGACAGTTCCGAATAGGACATATTGTGTTTTATTTAAGCTTAAATGTCGCGTAGCGCATTCAAAATGTAAGAACTTAATAGTTTGGTGTCTTCTCAAATAGCCAAGCCCAAGGTCATCGGCGCAGTGCCCTCGACTATGACCTACTATGTCCCGCTACACCTAAACCTAAAGTTGTGTTTTGCGCAGACTTGAAGTCAGAGCCGCTAAGATATTTGAAAACTATTATAGCTATCCAGTTAATAGACCCTAGCTTTTGTTTTTTTATTTTTTTTCCTTTTTTCTATTTCTTTTTATTTTTATTCTACACTTCGAAGCGGTGACCTGTAACATACTCGTATCCTAAAGGTCGTTAATGTCTTCGTATTTTTTTTTACATCTAATTATAAAACAAAGAGATAAGATGTAGGTGCCTATCTATATAAATTTGGTATTCATTCTATTCACAATTTGTCTAGTTAAATTATAATCTGTCTGACATAGTTGACAATTAGTACGTTCACGAACAATAAGGATAATGGTGTTATTCTAAACTCGAGTTGTGATCTCATCTCGTTTATTAAATAGTGTCATCACTTATACTGTTTTAATACAGTATATTGTTTTAAATTGTTAGTAATACAATACTGCATTAACCGTGGGTTTCTGAGAGCAAAAACTGTTTAAATCAAATTGTTGTCTCTGTTTTGTCGAACGAAATAAATTTTATACGGACATTTCGGTATCAGAAACTCATGGTAAGTCGAATGTCTTTTCAAACATTTTCATTAAATGTTATGGCCCCGGATGGACCCGGTGGGCATAAGTCAAACTAAATTATAATGGCTCACTAACGCCACCCTGTCGATGTCAAGAAAGATTCTAATTACCTGTAGCTATCTTTTATCACATTTCCACTATCAGAAACGTTGAATAGCTGGTGTATTAATATCTTTGACATTATCATCATCAGCTCACTATACATCCTCACTGAGGGGCTCAGAGTCACTAAGTTAATGGTGACTAAGTTGACATGACATGCCTACTATATCTTATATCGTTGTGCTAGGCACGTCTACGCGCAAGCCGCGCATCAACCCCGCTCTGGTGGCGGCGCAGGCTGCAGGCAGCTCGCAGAAGCGACCGCGATCTTCTTCTATAAAGAAGAAGCGCAGACATCCACCACGCCTCAGCAACGTCGATAGAAGCTCCGCGCAGACTAGAGAAGTATGTTTACATTCTTAAACCTAAAACCTTAGGCCACGTTTTCTAATAAGCGACTAGCGCACGACCTTCTTTCTTTTTATTAATTAAGCTGTGGATTTTAAATGAAAAGCTGATAGTTGCGTTTGGTAGCGGTAATGCAGATTCGGAGTAATAGAGGCAAAATTAACTGCCAGTAACAACAGTCGTATTCAATTCAAAATAAAACAAAAGTTCTTATTTTGAATCAATTGTTTTGTTCTATGTCTGTACCTACGTACAGATTAGTTCTGTCAGAAAATATATTAAATCTACGTTTAATATATTTTCTGACAGAACTAACCGCGATAGTAGCGCCCCTCAAAGGCCCCTTAGAGACTACACAAAGTATTCAACAAACATCAAAAATGTATAGAACTGACCTTTAGACAAGTCACGTGATTGTCGCGCGTCTTCTATACATTTATAAATTCGATATGGTATCGCTTCGATGCGAATGCACTTTGTTGAGCCCTGCAGATAAGCTTGTCGAATTATACCTATATCTATAGTCAAATCTTATTTTTTTAATAGGCTTACATAGTCTTCAGTATATTGGGTGTCGCAGCTACGCTTATTTTGCCTATATCTACTTTATCATTATCCCTAGGTAACAGTAAGTGGGGTGACAGTTGTGATAACAGAATATAAGCCGAAGAAATCAGTCTCCAGCAGTTCCAGTGATGTGGAGTCTTCTAACGATGCTAGGACTTGATCTCAACAATTGGATACAGGTTAAAGTATTTCTTATTGGAATCAATATTCGATCCTTGAGATGGTAGGGTTAGTACCTTTTTACTCTGGTCAAAAACAATGGAAGGTTACACAATATTTTCGTTTTAAATCGTTTTGGTTACTTTGTACTGAGTACAAAAAAATCTACAGCCCTTTAAATAATAGATCCAGTTTTGCAATTTTAATTACGATGTTTAAAAATCTTTAGAATCGAATATTGGTTTCGGCTGTAGGACATCAAGTATCAAGATTGTTAATTTCAACTTTAATTTGACTCGTAAAATTGGCTATTTTCAAGTATCAAGATTTTAAAGTCTTATGATTATCTTTGCAGAATTACAATTCATTACAATTGAATCTGCATAAGGTGGTAATAAAATCCAACTTAAATAAAACCTTTTTTCTTATATTTTTTTTTGGTATATGTCTACTTTAAAACATAAAAAAATACATTTCAGTGATTCTAAGTTACATAAATGATAAAAATATTTAAGCGGCAACATTTTGGTGTCCCTACGTATTTTAATTAGCCCTAAAATATTCAATAAATTGACAAAGTTGAAGAAAAAAAGTCATGAAAAAACTTTAAGATATTGTGTAACCATCGTCTAAGAATCATTATTTTTAAAATGTCATCTGATAAATAACACAAGAAAGTGAAGAAAACAATAGCCTTAATAGATAGAATAGGAAAGAAATGTTGTAGATAGTTTTTGTAACGTATTTTGAATTTGGAATGTTGTGTTGGTAGTACTGTAAAGGCTATTGGCATGTTTTTCTTTTTTAATTTATTTTATTTTGTCTGTGACAATTCGGTTTTGTAAATTTATGAACATAGATGAATTTATTGTAATTTATTTATTTATATTTCGATTTTATGATTATTTTTTATTGGATTTAATTATTTTTTATGTAATGTGTATATAGAAAAGGACCAGCGGTCACTGCCAATTAGAGAATTGTAAATAGAAATGCTTGAATTAATATTAAAAAAACTTATCGATATTTTAAATTGTAATTTAAAAAAATGTTATAAAGGAATGATATGGAGATATTTTGTAAGCGAAAGGATGAAGATTTTACAAATTGGAATTTACACAAGGATGATGTAACCGTAGTATTCTACTGACGACACTCGTAAGTACTGTCAGGGAATCTGGCGGTATTCAAACTTAAAAGTCGTTTGAACGTTTCCTATGTAGAGACGACGCGAACTGACCAATAGGACGCAGCTTTAAAATGTGTCTTACGAAAAACGTAGTACCCGACTATTATGACTATTAAATTTTACTTTTATGCCGGCATTTGCCCAACTAACTGACATCTCAATTGGTTATTTTGTAGTAGCGGCGTTATTTTTGCAAGGAACAAGGTATTTTTTCTGTAAATGGAACACAGCAAATGGTCTTGACTGTACATTTAGTCTTTCTCCGTTTAGTTTAAGATAACGAAAGGGATGTAACACGCGTCAGTGCAGTAAGAATACGCACTATACGTTTAACAGAACTGCGGTGTCTTACGGTAAAAATATATATGAAATTGCGGTCCGCGGTTTATCACGGCGTTGAATAGAGTCGGATTATAATGTCCGTGGTACCTAGATATCAACCCGCTGAGTGTGTTAAAAGCCTTAAAATGTTTCCAATAAATGTTTTGACAGTTTTATTATATTGAAAATAACACAACTAATACTGATGAATGATTTAATGGATTAAATTTAATAAAGTTTTTGCTATAAATACTATATTGATTATAAACGATTTGGATCTTGACTGTGGGTTGATAGAGTTTACACATATCTAAATTTCTTCTCAGATATGTGCAGGTTGCATCACTATGTTTCCCTCACCGTAACTTGGGATAAATGTTGCATGATTTTCGTATTCGTCGGGGATCAAAACTAAACGTATAGATCTGGTCCGGTCAAGCGCTTAACTGCGCCACCGACGCTCAAAGTTTGAATAGTATAATACATAACATCACAAGACAAAGCATCAATTGGAATGTGTAAACATAAATGTTATTACTACTAAAATAACATTACGATTCAGTTCTATGACGTCACAGGCCTTGTTAAGCAGACAAAATGATTTGTGTCATGAGTCTATCATACCTGCTCTATGTTCTTCACTTTAATATTTAAGAAATGAATTTTTATACGCAAAGACAAGAAGAGGACATTGGGCTTTATAGGTGTCCATGTATTTTTGTAATTAAGAATGTATATAAACACATTGTTACCAAAAAAAACTCTCCAATCAATCGTGACGTCTGTGTTCTAAGTATTTTATTTATTCTAGAGTTTAAGTTTAAAGTTATCGCGTTAATTTGAATCTTACGCATAATTTCATATTTTTCTTTTGATCCTAGCAGTTAATAAATAGGTAAGGAATTCATTGTCGTTTACAAGAGGGACCAAATTAATATTTGTTATTTACCCTCATTGAATAATGATAGTTATTTGTTTTTATGCAATCAACCCTTATTCGCATGAGCGTTTTTTTATCGCGCGTTTTAATAACGCTCGCGTTAAAACTCCGCGTTAGCGGTTCTTAAGCTACGAACGCTTAGTATCACTTATTCTATTCGCCTGACGTTCAAAATACAACACTGCGGAATACAAAATATTGTGTTTTAAGAGCGCAGCCATATAAACAGATACGATGTTCATTTGTCCTAATGCAACGGTTTTTAACGCGCGATAAAAAAGCGCTTGTGTGAATCACATGCCTAAAACAACGTATAATGAAAGTAACATAAAATGTCTATTAAAAATGGAGAAAAATTTAATTTGCTTTTTATATAATTTATCAAGTTTGGCGTAATATAACCTACTAATATTAAAATAAAATTGTCCAATGGTACAGGCACTTTTAGGAACGATACCTACAATAACTCATTTTATTTTTATGATTAAAAACATCACAATGAATTTTATATCAGTTCTTCTTAAGTTATCATCACAATTAAAAAAAACAAAAGGACACGGAAATTAAAACATTGGATATTTAATTAATGACGTTTTTACCCTATTATGACGATGGCCCATAATATAATATATTAAAATTATAATATAACATTATTTTAAGCGGGCTTTGACATTGTTAAAGGATCTGAGAATTTGATGAATCGAAAAAAAGAAATATTTTTGTGAGTGAATTTGTAAAGTTGCCATATTCGGCTTTATTATGATAAAATAGATGTTTTCCGATTCACAGAATGGCCTTTGCCCTGTCCTGAAATCGATGTATTTGGGAGTATAATTCCAATGTGACATAACCTAAATGTCAAAAAAATAACTAAAAAGATTGTAGGTAATCGATTATTTGCTGGTATTACTGATTAAATTAGTAACGAAAATGTACGTTTAATATTAGTTTTTACTTAATATCTGTTACAAAATGGAAGAACTAGTGAGAATCGGTTTTCGAATTTAGACTTATCACAACTTTTTATTATGATTATTGCTTGCTTTGATATTCCTGAAATATTTCTTTCAAATGTAAAATCGACGGTTAAAAATTAGTCCGCCATCTTGGTTTTATCGCTCGTCTAGTTATTGGCGGGAATGACAAGACTTGTTCAATTGTATTTTAGTGTATGTTAACTTATTGTAATTGTATGATTAAAAGTTAATTATTTTTAAGTTTAATAACAATTGATTGTATATAAAGGATGTGGAAAGTAATTATTTGGTTTTATTTTTATCCTTTTTCTAAACTATGTATTCGTAACATCCCTTTTCAACCATAAGAGATATAGTTTTCCAAAGAGTATGTAACCTTTTCTGAATAGCTTAGAATTTATGTCGGAAAATTAAGATCATAACATAGATTAAATATTTTTAGTAAAAATATTTTATCTAGAAAGCACTTTTATAATTTATCATTCAAGTATGGAATCTTCCGGTTTTATTTTCCCACGGCACAGACTAAATAGAGTTATCCTGACAGGGACTTGACAGCACAGAGTAAAACAACGTAATTGAACATGTTAATTCCCAAGATCTGACAGTTTTGCAGCTCTAAATGCTTTGAGTCTTATCTTTTGGAATATTCGTAAGGCAAATTTTGCAAGATTTTAAACTTTAATGCGATTTCGTCGCATCAAATATGAACATATAGAAAACCATAGTCTACATTTATCATTTCTAACGATACTTAAGTTTGGACAGAAATTAAAAAGTTTAAAAAATCTTCAATCTTAACAGAACTTAGATACAGAAGATTCTTATAATTCTAGATAATATTATTTAAAATTAAGTCTATGGTAAAAATTGATATATTTATCAAAAAATTAAATGGACAAAATAAAAAAAAATTGTCTATTATCACAAGATACAACCTCATATTGTGATACGTGATTGTAAGATACGTTGTGACTAATGTTTTCTTATAAAACATAAGTTTAAGCAATTCATATAAAATCTACATTGCTATAAACTAAGATTATGTAATAATACGTCGGAGTATTTGCTCTATATAAAATCTTTCGTCACCATTTGACAATATTATTTATTGTTTGTGGCTTTTAACATGTACCACAGTTTAATATTTAGTATCTAAATTATCAGAAGACTAGCTAACACCCGCAACTCCATCCATGTGGATTTAAAAAAGCTCAGAAAGTAGCCTATGTGTTCTTCCAGAATATGTTCTACATCTGTGCCACATACTATTAAATTCCGCTCCTTCTGCTTATAGAATTACTTTAAATTAAATGTTTTCAGATGCCCTGTCTACCATTTATAAAATAAAATTTTGTACACATCAGAAAAAGATGATGGAATCCAACTGCCGACTAATACAGCGTGAATGCATTGGCACTGACATCTATGAATGGATAGGCTATAAAACGTAGTGGGAGCTGCTTCGGCAGCTGACGCAGGCGAGGTCGCGGACGAAAGCGCAAGCGTGCCCGTGGCCTCGCCATGATGCGTAGGAGGAAAAGAGGGGTTTAGTGGGTATACTTCCCATCCGTAAGAGAATCCCGCATAACTACCGCGTCCCCCCCCCGAGGCGTAGAATATGCATAAAGTATTCCCCTCTGGAAAGAAAAGGCTATAAAACGTGGCTTTTTGTGTCCATTTGATGTTCACCATCTTGTCATTGACGGTAGCAAGTGGTGGTTGTGCGGTGCTGAGGATTCGAAATAATAATAGAGATGGAACTGTCAATGATATTTCCAAACAAAGACCTATCCATTTATTCAGATCAGTGTGATACATTCTGAAAAATTTCAAGTTATTTGCCCCATTTTACTTTTGTAATGAAATAAAGTATGAAGTAAAATATGTCTTTTCTTTGAAGGCATACAGTCTGAATACGAAAGATATGTGCAAAATTCATGTTATAAACTTGGTTATTCTAACAAATGTAATCCAAGGCGGCTTCTTTGAAGTTCATGTCGGTGCTTTTTAAGTCCCTTTATAACGATTCAGTAGCGACTGTCGGTTGACGGCAGGAGATTGTAAGATATATTAGATAAAGTAGAAACACGACTTGTTAGTTAGAACAGTATTAATCAAGCAGTAGTAGTAAACATAACAATATATAACACATAAAGGCATGTATGTATTGTTGCTCGTAAAAAAGTAAGTTAAAAAAGAATATTCTAGGTAAAATTTAGTGAAAAGTATGTCAAAAATATTAATTGTCATCCAGTGCTTAATATCAATACCGCTGAACTAGAGTTACAAATGAAAATGTAACTTTAACAACGGGTTTCTGAGACCAAATTCCCCGTTTAAAACATGTTATGTCTTTGGCTAAATAAAATGATAGGGGTGACGATATTATTTATACAGAGACTAGCTACCGCCCGCGATTTC